AATAAAAACTTGACGACTATTAAGAGCAATAAAAAAAAATAAATTATTTTGGATGCAACAACCTCAATTTAATGTCAAAGGCATAAACGCTAAATACACTTTACCATGCACTAGATGTTGGACTTTCCTCTAAAGTAGGAGACTGATAGAATTGATGAAGATATGATCGAATGCCAAAGCCTTGATTAGGTGCAGTCACCGCATCGACCAAAGCTGTTGGCTTAGTAGCACCTTGAAAAAGCAAAAAATTGTTTAAATAGCTGCTCAAAATCGTTTAGAATTTTTTAACAAAAAAAATCTACAGATTTTATAATATATTATTTGTTCATCATTTTTAAAATCTCTTAATGGCTAAAATCATTAGTAGCCTACCAGTTGCCGTAGACGAAGATGAAATAAGATTCTCCTTTTTTGAAATCTTCCCAAAAGTCCAGTTGGTCATGACGGTCTAAAAAAATTATAGAATTAAAATTGGTGAAAAAATGAACAGATAAAAAAATACAAAGACGAGCATTTGTAACAATGTTTAAAACAGCTGTTTTTACTTCAGCAGACATATTTTGAACAAATAGCATCACGAAAAACAGTGCATTAGTAAAAGACCGGAAAAGAAAAAAAAAACATTGTTTGGTTATTCATTTTTTATTTCTTTTTGTTTTGCTGTATGTTTTCTGTCACTAATCAGTTCAATAACAATGGCTATCGCGTTTAGTAATGGACTTTGGTCATGGAAAAATCGATGTGCATGAAACGGCAGAAAGCGGTTGCCAACAGCAGTTAACCCTCCCCCCTTCTCAAAAATGAAACAAAAAGGTTGCTTGAATAAAGCACGCAAAAAGGCAAAATTTGTTGGCAGAATATGGTTTCAGTGCAACTCCTAAAAAGTCTATTATGCATAACGAGATAAAAAAATATGACGTATTAGATGAGAATCAAATGCATGAAGTTCCAGTGCGAAAGTTGTTGTTTTCAATGTTCCAAAAAATAGCAAAAATTAATTTTCAAAAAAAAAAAAAGAGAAAAAAAAAATCTGGGAATTATTGCTTATTTTTGCTAGCACAGATACAAAAACTTTAGTTTTCTGTTCAAAACCGCGTTATTATAAAACTCCAGAATGAGCATTTCAATTTTGATTTGCTCAATACGAATGCGGTAACCCAATTATCAAATGAACATTTTGCAAATTATGTGTTTCCTATTTGCCAGTACTATTTGTTATGGCACTGGTTTTTACTACTATTGGAACCCGGTTGAGAATGAAAAACGAAAAGAGGGCGAGGTGGGAAAGGGAGCAGAAATCGATTAGGATTAACTGTCATTAACAAACTGATTGTCAATAACAAATGCGAAAGAAAAAAAAATATTTATAATTTTAATTAAAAAATATTTGACAAGCAAAAAAAAAAAAAA